TTGGCCCCCCCCCCCCCCCCCCCCCCTCCACAAGAGAATAAATGCTCGTGGTGGATGGAGCAATGACATCACGCGCCGAGATGCTTTCGTCAATTTCACGACTGTCTGCGGTCGTCCCGCAGGGAATCCCGCGGATCTCATATCAGATGTTCGCTGGAGGAACGACGGAAATGAAGAGCGCGCATGCCTCGGAAGCAGACGACGGTAAGGCGCAGGAACGCATGGTAGCAGACGCCGTGCTGGGTGTGTGATATGGGCATTTTCGGTTGCCAAGTCCCCGGAGACCTCATAGGTTTCGAACGTATTTCATGTAAAACAACGTGCATGCGACGTCAAGCAAAATAAACCAGGCGTACACACATATGTACATATACTGTATATGGGGCGTGTATTCATTTAAATGCAGAGGCATGGTAACCGATTCTGAAGGTTAGCTACCACGGCTTTCCTTGACTCAAAATGGCCCGCGAGTCGGATCGGGTCGGGTGTTGTTGGGCGAGGTTAATGAGGCGAACCTGCTGCTCGAGTAGGACTCTATATTGGTTGCTAGGCTGGGACCGTCGGGTTAGAGACGTGCTCTCACCGGTATTTATAAATTCTCCACACATATGTTCGCCTCAAATTGAGCCCTCTGCTACCCGAGAACTACAGCATAACTTGAACTCCAATCGAATTTGTAGGCACGGCCCGACCAGACCCGATCCGTCCCGATCATGCCCGGCCCTCGTCCCGCCATATTCTCGCTCTGTCACACCTAATCGTAACATTGGCAATCGCACGCGTCCGCGGTGTTACATGTAGGACTATGGCCTTGCTGGTGCAGCCCACGAGGGATATTTCTGGCCTTGCATGTTCGGCAATAGGCCATGACCTCGATTGACTCCATTTAAACGTTTTAGAGAACGCCAACCCAGCGCAAAACAAAGAAATTCCAGTGAATGGTACCGACACAGAAAATTCGCTACTGAAGGGGCTAACGAGGATGGTGATTCCCATTAATTGTCAACATTTTCAGGCTTGGCCGGAGGGAGGCACTGCCATCTTAACCCTTTTCGGTTTTCGGACATAGTCCGACAATCTCCACGGGGGGTGTTCTTTATATATTATAAAATGGACCGGAAAGGGTTAATGGAATCATTGTAACCCTCCTTCTACGTCTGCCTTTTACGTTTGCAATTTTGCCTTCTATGACGCTCAAAAAACAATTAACGGTCTCGCAGGCTCTATGCATACACAAACTCCTGTCATTGTTCAGATCGTCCATGTTCCCTGACCGACGCCGGGAAAAATAATTTCTGTAAGTCCCAAAGAGTCTGTGATGAACTACCCTCAAGTTTCTCGACGCAGGAAAGTGTCGGAAGAAGACGATTCAGCTACACTGACTCTCTAAGGATTCTTTCTCAGCCCTGAGAACGATATTGGAAAATGAGCGATAAAAACAAAAATCGGTATTATGTTGGTCTTTCATGGATTCCCGATCAGTTCAGATTTGACGCCTGCGCAATGGGCTAGGTAGATGTTTGGCGTCCTTTGTTTTCGCGTGTTCGACCTCGTTTTGGTCAACAACGGAACTTTGGGAGCATCAGTATATGGGAACGCTCGTCTGGAGAAGGCCTCCTGAAAACCGAGTAGTCTTTTACTGAAATCCTACTGGATTTATTGGAATCAAGCTATTCTAGAACGCGAAAATAACAGCCAATGAAATCCACAGTGCATGCGCAATAGTCCAAGCGCATGCGCTCTGGCTCATCTCGCCTTCCTTCCCCCGTACCGCAGCCAAAGCTCCTCTGGATTCCGAACTGTGCAAGCCTGCGAATCTCCATAGACACGGAAGTCGAAAGAGGAGATGGGAAGAATTTTCGCAAACGATTGACTTCCGCTTCCGCATTGCAGTCTCCTCATTCCTTGCGTCGGTAGGCATAAGTAACTTGCACGGTTGAGCCAAACGGAATATAGCTTATTATCAATATATATATTAATATATAGACATTTTTTTAAGGGTTTATTCATGATGTTAGGAAGTTTTTCACAGTGGAAAACTTGTTTTTCTGCGCTACTTGTTGTAATGCAAC